ATTCCCCTGGGGGAAAAAATTTACTTTTGTTAAAACTGCCTGAATGCTCTGTGGGTACAGAAACCACAAAGTGATCAGCAGAGAAAAGGGTAGAGTGACAGAGAAAAGGGTAGAGGCCCCATTTGGGGCCAGTTTCTATCCGTACACAGGTGTGTCTCCGCCCCCCCGCCTCAGCTTGTCCCAAAGCCTGCTGGGAAATTTGCTACTTGGATCTGCCCTGGCAGGGACTCCTGCACTACATGCATCTGGACCTGGCCTTCACAGACCCTCAGCTGGAAAGCACTTGAACATAAAGAAAAACAGGATGAAAATTCCAAAAGCCCCAAAGTTTCAGATGGGGCAATGATGTGGAGAGACACCTACAAGGGGGGCTCAGTAGCCTGTCTCCTCTTGGTAGTAGGAGGGATACTCCAGGACCTTCCCTGGACTTGGGCAGTTGCCAATTGACCCTGGAACTCAGTCAGCTCCTGGGTCTTGTGGTCACTACTTGGGGTTGTATAACTGCCAGCTCAGGCCAAAGACTTGGTCATTCTGGTTGGCTCCTTGCATGCAGCCCATCTGCAGAGACATGGAGGAGTTGTCACACTTGTTGGTCCCTGGCTTGGTATCATAGATGTGTTGCCCCGGTCCCGGGAGCTGTCATGATCACCTGCCTGGCACATTTGTTGGTTCCCGTTTGCAGACTGATTGTTGAGTGGTGCATGGATGGCAGGATATGGTTCTTGGGGTTGTACAGATGCCTTCTCATGCCATATGCTGTCATGCCTGACTGGTAGCACTCTTGTTGGTGCCCATCTGGAGCCTGATGACGCACTGGTCTGCCTTCATGGTGGCATTACCGTAATTCCGCTCCTGCTTCTTTGAGTACTTGATGCCAATGTTCACGCTACTCTGCAGCTCCTTTGTTTTGGCTTTCCCTACCAGAGCCAAAAGAGAGACCTGCACCTGTGTCATTTTCCACTCTCAAATAGGTTATTGGCCTCGAACAGGACCGCGGAGTTTATGCTGTAACTGACCATGGCCTTGATGAAGTTGGAGAGGTTTTCTAGGTGGTGCCAGTTTTGCATGGAGTGGTTATATTGGGGAGACAGCCTGGCTGCAGCTTATTCATGAGTATGCACAGGATAATTCTATCCTTCATACCCTTCTGGAAGTCAGGACTGATAGGCCCATGAATCCTTTGATCCAGCTGCGGAATTCCGCCTCCTTTTGAGGGTCATATTTGGACAGGTGTTGGTTCTTGACCTTGGCCGAAAGCCAAGGGCCCCTTGTTAAACTGTGTGGAGCTGGTGGCGACGGCGGGATGGATGGCCTGCTGGGTGCCTATTGGGAGTTTTTTGATTACTGCTTTGATTTCTTTTATTGTAATTGGTCTGTTTAGATTTTCTGTGTCTTGATTTAGTCTTGGAGGATTGTATATTTCTAGGAGTTTATTCATTTGGCATAGCTTATTTTCTAAAGGCCTCCAACCTGCCATCCTTTCCTTCTCTGTTTTCCAGGGAACTAGCTCCTGATCCTGGCCTTTTCTGCCCAGTCAGGTGGCTTACCTACATAGCTGACCTTTTTACACTATTTTTCCTCTTGTCTGTTTATATGACAGCCTGAGACTTAAGTAAACATGAAAGGCTTGCTGAGGTAGTGGTTTGTTTCAATTATATAATACAGTCTATGTCTTGAGGGCCTAGTCTCCTCTGGTCTTGCCAGAGCTTACTGCCACAGGAGAAGCTCAGTAAAGCCCTGTGGTGATGGTCAAAAGGAATTCGAAGGGAGAAGGTATGAGGTGTCTCAGCTGGTAACTCACTCAGCATTGGTTTGGTGACTGACTGTGTACACCAGTATTCTTCAAATAGTGCAACACCCTCAGAGTCCTGCCAGCTGTGGCCGTGGCCTCTTCCCTTTCCTCGTCTGTGGTCACACATATGCCATTGGCTCCCTGTCTGGGATTGACTTTAGAGAAAGCAACACCACTGCTTGAATCTGTAGCTGAGGAAGGGCAGCCATGACTTCCCACATAGTTATCGGCATCCTCATTCTTGATCCATAATTTATCAGTTTGAGCCTTTTTTCCCCCCAAGTTAAATGGAAGATGGAGTTTTATTGTATGAACAAAGGAGTTAATTTCTTACTCTACATGTGTTTTCCAGTGGCCCTAACACTGGTGAGCTGGGTGCCTTTGCCCTTGGGGTTAGGACAATGGCCAGTGGAAAACACACCCTGCAGTGGTTAGCCCTGTTGGGTTTCCTGAGCTTCATTCTTGCTCTCTTTCTTCAAATCTCTGTGACCATATTATTATTATTATTTTTTAATTTTATTGATTTTTTTACAGAGGAAGGGAGAGGGATAGAGAGTTAGAAACATCGATGAGAGAGAAACATCGATCAGCTGCCTCCTGCACACCCCCTACTGGGGATGTGCCCGCAACCAAGGCACATGCCCTTGACTGAAATCGAACCTGGGACCCTTGAGTCCGCAGGCCGACGCTCTATCCACTGAGCCAAACCAGTTAGGGCTGACCATATTATTTTTTATTAGTTTCTCCCATCTGCTCTCTTTATCCACCCCCCTCCTCCTTTTAATTGTGCTGACGTTTCTCAGTGTTCCCTTTGAGGCCCTTTTCTTTCATGTTTTCCCTTCGGCTGTGGGTTTCAGAGTCTCCCACCTCTCCTCTTTTGCATTTTGCTTCTGCCTCTCTACATAGCACATTGCATCCTCAGTAGCCTGGTGCTAGTGCTGTGAGCTTTGGGAAGGCACTTAGGTCTAGCTTCTTTGAAGAAGTCATTCCTGCAGATGCCACATCTGCTCTCCTGCCCCTGTGCTGCCCTTTTCTGTTTTCTGTGTCCCCCTCTCCCCTAAGACCTTAAGCACCAAGGGCTCATCTGATTTCTTCACTACAGCTGTCCTGTTTCCATAGCTCATGGTTGTGCCTTTGTATCTTATGCTCTTTTCGGGACTGCAAACTTTTGTGTCTCCTTCAGGACTGCCTATAAGTCCAGAAGCACATTGGGTGGTTCGTGATTGGGTCCACCCTCCCCTGTGTGTAGTGTTAGTGAGGCTGTGCTCTCTAGTGGTATGAAGCATGTGTCTCTGCCGTTGTGTCTCAGAGGGCGGGTCCACAGCCGCTTGGCTGACCGGGATGAGCGGCGATCCCACAGCAGGCCGATCCCCGCAGGCCACGCCCCCACCAGTGCACAAATCCGTGCACCAGGCTTCTGGTCAATTATAAGGTAGTGAAAATTGAGAGAACAGATTCGGGGGGGGGGGGGGCTACTCTGAAAATCATTTAGAAATAACCATAGAGAAATATTAAAAGGGAGACATTTTAAGTTTTTCCTCCCCTTTTGCCCCAGCAGTCTCCAAATTAATCAGTGGGCGGTTGTGCAGGAGAACATATATATTAAAGCACTCCTCAAACTGACAGTCTCCAGCCCATCAATATAGAAACAGGCAGCCTCCCTGGGACGGGTCTGGAGCATATCTGTGTCACAGGGCACAGGCAGAGACTAAGATAACAGAGCAGAAGAAGCAGAAGCCAAACCACAGCACAGGTACGACTGGAAATCAAAGCTGGACAAAAAAGTTGTGGGCTGGGCATTATTGAGGGGATAAGTTGTTGTTATATTGATTCTAGAGAGGAAGGAAGAGTGAGTGAGAGATAGAAATATCAATGACTAGAGGCTCGGTGCACGAAATTCATGCACATGGGGAGGGGGCCCTCAGCCCGGCCTGCTGCGCTTGCCACCGCCGCTGCGCTTGCCAGCCCTGAGCCTGGCTTGTGGCTGAGGGGTCTGACCACCTGGGGGAAGCTCCTGCGTTGAGCGTCTGCCTCCTGGTGGTCAGTGCGTGTCATAGCGGCTGGTCATTCTGCTGTTCGGTCGATTTGCATATTAGACTTTTATTATAGAAATATCAATGATGAGACAGAATCACTGATCGGCTGCCTCCTGTATGCCCAACACTGGGGATTGAGCCCGCAACCCGGACATGTGCCATGACCAGGAATCAAACTGAGACCTCCTGGATCATAGGTTGACGCTCAACCACAGAGCCACCAGCAGCTCTGGGAACGCATTTTCAGCCTCCATCACTGGGGTCACCATCACAGAGCTTTGGGCCTAAGTTTACCTATGTATTATGATTTGTTGGCTTCTCCCGATCTGGCTGTCCCTCACTGAGCCTGGCTCCCTGAAATCACACAGACCCTCCAGGAAGCCAGACCACTAGAGACATGGTCTCAGACTTGGTTGGAACCGTCAGGCTCTGAGTTCTTGGAGAGTCCCATCAAGACCAGATAGGATTTAGCCACACAGTGATTATTTTAAAGCTGCTTTGTGGCTGGCCTGAGTTGGCACATGTCAGATATTTCATACATTTTAGGCCATAAGGAGTGTTATCTTTACTTATCCAGGAGGAATTTTTTTGAAGTGTTTTATCTGAAGAGTTAAGGAACATTTCACATTGTGTAGTTCATAGTATCTCTACATATATTAATGTGAAGATCCCATTTAAAGTTACTTACTGTCCTAGTCATCTGGTTGACCTCCTGGAGCAGTGCACAGTTAGAGATCCTGGGGTTGAGGCCCCAGGGCCTGCTCTAAACATGACTCAGAGGCAAGAGAAGATTCAGTTGAAAGGTTAGTGGGGATGTTCCTATACGTCTCTATTTTGTCTCTATGGGGGTGGTTAATTAGAAACTAGTATCAGTAAAGTAACTCCCATTTTTTTCTACAAAGAGCTGGTTAAAATAAAGTATAGGTATCCAAACACAGTGGCCAGGCTATTGCTTTCTTTTGATGAAAGTCAGTATTTATGTGCAATGAACTAGAAATCTTATCTTTATTCTAAGAGTTATGCTATGTAGTGTCTTTTAGAAAAATATTTTCCTATTATTGAAGTAGTTTATGCACATTGAACAAAATTTAAGTGTATTAGTTTGTCATGGCTGCTGTAACATAGTCCCCCACACTGGGCAGTTTAAACAGCAGACATTTATCTCCCCACAGTCCTGGAGGCCAGAAGTCCGAGACCAAGGTGTCAGCACTGAGGATAATCTGTCCAGGCTCTGTCCCAGTCCTGCTGATCTGCTGACAATCTTTGCTGTTCCTTGGTTTGTAGAGCATTGTTCCATCTCTGCCTCCATCTTTACATGGTGTTCTCCCTGCTTGTGTCTCTGTGTCCAAATATCCCCTTCTTATAAGGAAACCAGACATATTTGTGTTAGAACCCACCCTATAATGATCTCATCTTGACTACATCTGCAATGCCCCTTTTCCCAAATAAAGCCACATTCTGAGATACTGGGGGTTAGAAGGATCCCAATATATCTTTTCAGGGGGATACAATTCAACTAATAACACTTAGTAAATGAAGTTAAATATAAAGAAAACAAAAATATGTGTAATCCTCCTGGTCGGTGTGGCTCGCTTGGTTGAATGTTGTCCCATGCACCAAGTGGTTGCTGGTTAGATTTCTGGTCAGGGCACATGCCAGAGTTGCAGGCTTGATCCCTAGTAGGGTATGTCCGTGAGGCAGCTGATGGATGTTACTGTCTTACCGATGTTTCTCTCTCTCTCTCTCTCTCTCACTCTCCTTTTCTCTCTCTAAAAAAAAACACAAAAAAACAAGATCAATAAAAAATGTGCAATCCGACCAAATTTAAACATCTAAATGGAAAATTTTTAATGTTATACTTTTCACAAAATAAGGACTATGCTGTACATAATTTCATATTCTGCATTTTAAAACTTAATATTAATTTCCCATGATATTAATCTTCAAAACGTGGCTTTTAATGTTTTTTTCAATGTAAAGAGAAATAATGTATCTGATAAAGTTTTAATTTTCGCATTTTCTGTAGAAGGGACCTTGTCCATTTGGCACCTTGGTTTCTTTTTCATCTTAGTGGGAGCACACAAGGCATCAGCACAGTTAGCAGGTGCTTTATTATTATTACTTTTTAAATCCTCACCCGAGGATATTTTTCCTTTAATTTTAATTTTTTAAATATATATTTTTTATTGATTTCAGAGAGGAAAGAAAAGGGAAAGAGAGATAGAAACATCAATGGGGAGAGAGACTCATTGATTGACTGCCTCCTGCATGGCTCCCACTGAGGATCAAACCTGCAACCCGGGCATGTGCCCTTGACTGGAATTGGCCCTGGGACCCCAGTTCACAGGCCGATGCTCTATCCACTGAACCAAACGGGTCAGGGCACCATTGATTTTTAGAGAGAGTGGAAGGGAGAGAGAAACATGGATATGAGAGAGACACATTTATTGGTTGCCTCCCACATGCAGGGATCAAGCCTGCATCCGAGGTACGTGCCCTTGACCGGGAATTGAACCCATGATCCCTAGGTCTGTGGGTCAATGCTCTAACCATTGAGCATCCGGCAATGGGTGGCAGGTGCTTTATGAGGGTGGGCAGAGATGACTTGAGCTTGTCTGTGAACCTCAAGAGGTCAGAGACCATATTAAAAGCAGGTCTGGAGGTTGGAGGAGCATCATGAGGTGGGGTGCCTGGGCAACCAGCTGGGTGGGGGACCAGGGCCCGGTGCTATCTAGGCCAGTGATGGCGAACCTTTTGAGCTCGGCGTGTCAGCATTTTGAAAAACCCAAACTTAACTCTGGTGCCGTGTCACATATAGAAATTTTTTGATACTTGCAACCATAGTAAAACAAAGAATCAACCAAAAAAATGAGTTCACGTTTCACCTCTGACACGCGTGTCAAAGGTTCGCCATCACTGATCTAGGCTGTTCTGGTTGTTCAGGCTGTTCTTGATGGGGCCCCTTCTGGGAAGGCATTGCCTGTGTTATGTAAATCAGTCATTCTGTTTATTGGGGCCCTCTCTTGGGACCTCAGTTCTCCCTGGGAACTGACCCAGTAAGTCCTGCTGCACATTGTGTTTTTTTGGCAGGAGGATCACTAAAACAAAACAAAACAAAACAATTTTTTTTTTTTATTGTTTCAGAGAGGAAGGGAGAGGGAGAGAGATAGAAACATCAATGATGAGAGAGTATCATTGATCGGCTGCCTCCTGCATGCCCCCTACTGGGGATCGAGCCTGCAACCCAAGCATGTGCCCTTGACCAGAATCCAACCCGGGACCTTCCAGTCCGCAGTCTAATGCTCTGTCCACTGAGCCAAACCAGTTAGGGCCCAAACTATTTTTTAGAGCAATTTTAGGTTCACAGCAAAATTGAGAAGTGCAAAGATTTCCCATATACATCCCCCTCCCAGGTTTCCCCATTATCAACATTCTCCCACCAGAGTGGTATAGGTATATTTTTTTATAATCAGTGAACCTATATTGACACATTATCACCCAAAAGCCACACTTTACGTTAAGGTTCACTCTTGGTGGTGTACATTTCTAAAAGTTCATTGTACAGAATAGTTTCACTGCCCTAAAAATCCTCTGCTTTCTACCTATTCATTGCCTCCCTTTAATTCCTGGCAGCTACTGATCTTTTTACTGTCTCCATAGTTTTCCCTTTTCCAAAATGTCCTATGGTTGGAAGCCTACAGTATTAAGCCTTTTCATACTGGTTTCCATGGCTTGACAGCTTAATTTTCTTTTTTTTTTTTTTTTTTAGTGCTGAATAATATTCTATCATCTGGATTTCCTACAGTTTATCCATTCTCCTACAAAAGGGCATCTTGGATCACTTTTAATCATCTTTCCAATCTTCTCTGATGGAGAAACAAACAATAAACAAAGCCAGCTGCTGACTTCTGAACTCAGTTCTGGCTTCTCTGTGAACTGCCTGGAAGAGAGGGGCTATTCCCTCCCAAAGCTTGTGCTGTGTTGTGTCCCCAGTTTGTTCCAAAAGCCCTGGACTGTAACAGGAGGATATTGCTTAGGAATGATACAGACCTTAGGGAACACCTGAAACATCTTGCATGGAAACCATTCCCACAACATTTTAAACACTGCAGAGTTGGTGATGGGAGAGAGGGAGTGAGAAGGATGGCCTTAGACTGTAGTCTCGCTGGGATGTCTGAGAGGTCCATGCACTTAGTCTAGAGATGTGTGAGGTCCTTGCTGGATTCCTTGGGACAATGTACGCCACTGTGTCAGCCAATGTGCCTTTGCCCAGGCCACAATTTTTGTTTCAGAGACTAGACTAGTAATTCTTTTTTTAAAAATATATTTTATTGATTTTTACAGAGAGGAAGGGAGAGGGATAGAGAGTTAGAAACATCGATGAGAGAGAAACATCGATCAGCTGCCTCCTGCACACCCCACACTGGGGACGCGCCCGCAACCAAGGTACATGCCCTTGACTGGAATCGAACCTCGGACCTTTCAGTCTGCAGGCCGACGCTCTATCCACTGAGCCAAACCAGTCAGGGCTAGACTAGTAATTCTTAACCTGGATTTAGATTTTTAGCTGCTTAAAATGTCATCAGATTCTTGAAACATAATTTAATTTTATTCATGGCCCTTTCTGATCATTTTTGAGAGTGAGCTCTGCACACTGATTCAGCAACAGGATTCCTGCTCAGCCCCCCATTCTCCCACCCCTGTCTTGTCCGAGGTGGAATCCTACCTGGCGGAATACATGTCCAGAGGTGAAAGATTGTGTCCTGGGCTGGTAGCCAGCTTGGGATGACTTGGAACCAGTGCACTCAGCCTGTGCTGCAGCCTTTCCTTTAGGCTTTTATCCTTGTCACACCCATTACATAATTCTGGATCCTTTTCATTTTGACATTCAAGGGACAGTACTGGGTCTGGGTCTAGAAAAGGAGTCAGAAAAATTTGAAATAGTGTGTCTTATCCTTGCTGAGCAAAAGGGACACATTCCTGGTCATGCCTCAGCCTGAGGCAAACAGGCTTCTTGTGTACCCAGTTCCCATCCCATTGCCCAACTGGACGTGCTCTATTGGTCTTCACACATCTTAGTTGGAGGTGGCTACATTTTCTCTTCCTAAAGAAGGAGCGTAGACAGCAGAAAAGTCCACCTGGTGGGACCAGGCCTGCCTCTGTGCTCCTGACATGGAACAACCCTGTGTTGGGCATCTGGAGTTACCCCAGGGAGACGGCCAGAAAGCGACACTTCTTTGGGAGAATTGCTCAGATTACATCTAGTTAATAGCATTTATGGTGGGATTCAGGGAGCGGGATACACAGTTGAAAGGGTATTGTCATAGGTGAGGTCTTGACAGGCTCTGTGATGGAAGGCAGGGTCCTGGACTCTCTCCTGTCCTGGGCCCTGTCCTCACACTTTACCATCTCAGAACTCTATAAAAATTTTTTTATTAGAGGAGAGAGAGATTTGTTGTTCTACTTATTTATGCATTTATTGGTTGATTCTTGTATGTGTCCTGGTGGGATAAAACCCACAACCTTGTCATATCAGGGGCAATGTTCTAACCAACTGAGCTACCCAACCAGGGTTTAGGAACTCTTTATGCTATAAATACTGAGGAGTCAAAGGAATTTTTTTGTCTATATGGGTATATCTGTTGATAAAATGTTTATTTTCTAATAGGAATGATAAACCCATTGCATATTACTCTAAATAACAAATCTTTACTAAAAATAACGGTTATTTTCCAAAACAAAATATTGGTGATTATCATATATTGCCTTGGTTAAAGTATACAAATATGTAGTTGGAATATGGAAGAGTATTTGAATAGCTTCTTGACATAATTTTAGAGTGTTTTTTTTTTTTTTTTGATATGACAGCAAAACTGGACAAATGGTCACTTAGGGAAAGGTCAGTGGTAGCCTGAAACCTCCATTGAGTCATGGAATGTTGCTTTTCAGCTACATTTAAACCCACTGTCCTTCCTTGCATTGTGAGATGATCTTTTACAACTGTGCTTGGTTTGCTGAGTTATTTAGATCTTCCAGGTGCTGATGTGCTTGTTTTATTACTAGAGGCCCTGTGCACAATTTCGTGCATGGGTGGGGTCCCTCGGCCTGGCTGGCGATTGGGCCGATTGGGGCCAAGAGAGGTTGGCCGGTGGGTGAAGGGCCACGGTACGTTGTCCGGATGGTGGAGGGCATCGGGTAGTTTGTCAACCCGCGGGGAGGAGGGACTGCAGGAGGTTGGCTGTGGGAGCACACTGACCACCGGGGGGCAGCTTCTGCCTTGAGCATTTGCCCCCTGGTGGTCAGTGTGCGTCATAGCAACCGGTCGACTGGCTGTTCGGTCGTTCGGTAGTTTGGTTGCTTAGGCTTTTATACCAGTATACACACACGCGCGCGCGCACACACACACACACACACACACACACACACGCAAGCACACTAGGGGCCCAGTGCATGAATTCGTGCACCTTGACAGGAACTGTGGGCCACGAGGCTGTGGTAGGCACAGGGGCGGGTCTCGGCCCATCCTCTGTGCCCCCGCTCGGCCCATCCCGCCATGGCCCCCGGTCCCCTGTCTGCCGGCAGCCCCGCTCCCACTGCTGCCACTCCCATGTGCTGATGGCGCCCGCCCTGCTCGCACCCGCTAACGGCATGGAGCGATTGGGGCTGGCACCAGCAGCGGGTGGGAGTAGGGCCGGTGCCGTCAGCGGCTGCGAGCGGCAGCTGCTGCCCCAATGGCCCCTCAGGAGCAGGGGGAGGTGGGGAACCCCTCAGGGGTGATCAGGGCCAGCAGCCGCTGCTTGCACCTGCTGATGGCGCTGAGTGATCGGGACCAGCGCAGGCACCACCTGCAGGTGCGAGCGGGGTTGGTGCTGGCAGTGGTGCAAGCAGCAGCTCTGACACTGGCAGCGGGTGCAAGTGGGGCCGTTGCCCGCAGTGGGTCTGAGAGGTGGCTGCCAGCCCCGATCTCCCCTCAGGAGCAGCGGGAGGTGGAGAAGCCCTGAGGGGCAATTGGGCCCGGCAGCCACCACTTGCACCCGCTGACGGTGTCGAGTGATCAGGGCCGGCGCCGGGCACTGGTAGTGGGTATGAGCGGTGGCTCCAACACTGGCAGTGGGTGCGAGCAGGGCCAGCACTAGCAGCAGGTGCAAAAGCTGGGTGGGACTGCGGTGTGTGAGAGCAAAGAATTTTCAGTAACCACCAGAGGCTCACCCTGATGACAGCTACTGGCGCCCTGCCTTGGTCTGGTATCCCCACTCACCTGCTCCACCATCCCACTGCAGCTGATGCCAGCCATGTTCCACGCATGCCCCCTGGTGGTCAGCACACGTCATAGCTATCGGTTGTTCCACTGTTTGGTCTCTTTGCATATTAGCCTTTTATTATATAGGATGGACTAGAGGTCCAGTGCACGAAATTTGTGCACGGGGGGGGGGTGTTCCCCCTCAGCCTGGCCTGCGCCTTCTCACAGTCTGGGACCCCTCACTGCTTGCTGCTCTTTACTACTTGGCTTGCTGCTCCTTAGTGCTGCCGTGGAGAAGGGAGAGGCTCCCGCCACCACCGCTGCGCTCGCCAGCTGTGAGTCCGGCTTCTGGCTGAGCAGAGCTCCTCCTGTGGGAGTGCACTGACCACCAGGGGGCAGCTCCTACATTGAGCGTCTGCCCCCTGGTGGTCAATGTGCATCATAGCGACAGGTCGTTCTGATCATTCCACCTTAATGGTCGCTCAGGCTTTCATTATATAGACTAGGAGCCCAGCGCACGATTCAAAATCGCGTGACGCCGCCCACTCTCCCATCCGGCCCTGCCTCCCGGTCTGGCCCTTGAAGCAGCTATGGCTGCTGCTGATCAGGCCCTCCCCCAGTGCAGGCACGCGGAGGCCCCTGCTGTCCCGCCCCTGACGCTGTGCGCGCAACCTCCTGTCTGGTTGACCTGTTACGGCGTCACAGTTAATAAGCATCTCTCTCTCTCTCTCTCTCTTCTTTCTCTCCCTCCCTCTCTCTCTCTCTCTCTCTCTCTCTCTCTCTCTCTCTCTCTCTCTCTCTCTCGGCCTGATGCATGAAATTCATGCAAGAGGCTTGGCCCTCGCAGCTTTGGCCGACCCTCACAGCCTCGGTCGGCCCTTGCAGCCCCTCGCAGCCTCAGCTGTCCCTTGCAGCCCCAGCTTCGTCTCTCCGGATGGTTGTTCTAGTGTTTGGTCTAATTAGCATACTAGCTCTTTATTATATAGGATAGATGGCAGAAAGGTCCTATTTTTTTTTTTTTTTGCTGTCGCCACCCCTCTCTTCAGAAGAGCATTTAAACCACCAGGTGCTATCTGTTCATAGTGGAGAGTTTTTAAAAT